AAAAGAAGGCACTATGAATCCTTACTTGGAAATTTATTTTTGTGATGGAAAAACAAATACAATATTTTTTTTCATTTTGTATACACAAAATCAAGTCACAGTGCAAATTATATTTGCTAATGAATCTGACAAACAAAAAAAACCTGATTTTTGTGGTAGAAAAAGCCGAATTCAAAGGGTAGGTTAGCTCCAACCTGATCTCTATTTGGCACACAGTAAAAATCTTGAGTAGAAATTATGCAGTTTCATGGGGAAAAAACTAAAAATAGAAAGAGCTAAATATCTTCCTTTTAAGCAATCATTTAATACAAAACTAAAAACTAGTCCTCGACGAACATGTTCAGATTGTTTGAGCTCTGCATACAAGAGTTTGAACTGTAATCATCATAACTTGCTATTCTCGGTTTACTTTTTACTTCTTAAAAGACTACAAATGGCAGTTTGCATACGAAAAGCTGATTAAGATGAAAAGCTCCTCACTACAACTGCTCATTTCCACCTTACTGGAAAGAACGAACTACTTCAAAAGAAGCAGAATGATTTGCCTACCTCATTTTAAAAGCTTCAAATTTGACGAAGTGCCAAAAATCAACGTGCTAAATTTGTTAAGCTAAATCTAAGGTATGCCTCGACTATTTTAAATGTAAGGTATGCCTGAAATAGTCTATATTTAACAGTATTAATATTTCTATATTTAGAAATGCACCCTTTTCATGCACTATGTATTTAGAAACAAAAAAGAGCAGGGTGTATTTCCTAAAATAAATAATTGTTATTTTTTAAAGTTTTATATTTTACCGGAACTCAGTAGAGCTAGGACCAATAAAAGATAAAAGGCTAGTACGAACTAGAATTCACTTTTCTTTTGGGGAAAAAAAAAACAAAACCCAAACCCAAACAGGTTGTTCCTCTTCAAAGCATCTTTATGCAAAAAGAAGTGGAGAATGTCTTCACTGTCTAGACTCCCCAAAACCTATTCCCGTCTTATCATCTTGCACTCCCTACTCACAGGTTGAGTCCTCCTCCTACAATGTCTACAGCTCACTTGCTAAATTCTTAAATGTGCGACCTTAGTGAGTTTTCCCATGCTGTACCTTCCCTATGAAGCTTATAAGAAACCCGAACCAGATCATCGCTGTTAGAGAACCCGCTGGGCAGACTACTACCATATCACTGCTTCCATCCGCCAAGATCCACTTCTTCCCTTCTCCTATAATTAGAGTGCCAGCTCTTTCAGGCAAGTGTCACATTTTTGTTCTTATCGGTATAATACCTATCATAACATTTTTTTCCTGATTCATGAAAATCAGGAGGATTACACTCGCACTACCAGAATGCAAACAACAAGATATAAAATACGCAATACCCATTAGCTTATCTAAGCATACTTACCGGGTGAAATATAGCCAAATAAGTTTACAGATAGTCTTCAGGTACTATTTAGGATACACGTAAAACTCTCCCAGTAGGGCTGGCCACTAACTGTGAAACCAGTATTGTTAATCATTCAATCAGTAAGCACCTGAATTCAAAGTAGCTGGGGCAAATACACTTACTTCAATCCCTCAATTCATCAGAGGTATCCTAAACACCAATGACCTCACCACTTGTAGTCAAACCCCAATTAAAATGATAAGATTTTATGTTGCTAACCTGCACATCAAAAAGGCATGGTGCACTGAAGACAGCATTTCAAAAACTATCACTTTCATGTCACTTGAGA